CTCATGCACTACTAACGCTTCAAACTTGTTTCAGAACCAGCAAACGCAGTACCGGGCGGAAGCGAGCGAATCCTATGCCGGCCTGCCGCTTCGGGATGCAGCCAAACGCCAGCCGATCTGCCCGCCCCGCCAACTGCCCAACCTTGAAAGCATGCCGCTCGACACTGTCGTCGCAGGCCCCGCGAGCCGCCGCATGTTCCAGCCGCTCTGCCAGCGCGCGCAGCGCCGCTCCCACGTCCCTGAGCCCTGCCGCGCGCGGCCCCAGCCCGGGCAGTGCTGCTGTCTCGGTGTATATTGGTGCAACATACGGCCCTTGCCCTTTCTGCTGTTGTTGTTGTTGCTGCTGCTGCTGCTGCTGCTGCTGCTGCTGCTGCTGCTGCTGCTGCTGCTGCTGCTGCTCCTGCTGCTGCTGCTGCTGCTGCTGCTGCTGTACACCCTGCTTGGGTGCGTGTTGGTGCGCCGCCAGCTGCCGCTCTGCCTGCTGAACCTCCTGCACCTGATCTTGATGCCCCTCCTCAGCCATCATACTGTGGTCTTCGGCTGCCTCATCTTCCTCCTCCTCCACATCCTGCTGCTGCTCCTCCAGCATGTCCTGCTCCAGGCCTACCAGCCCCAGGCGCGCGTCATAATCGTCCACGCAGCCGGCCACCAGGGCGGCGGTCAGCGCAGGAAGGATCTGGGAGGGCAGGACCAAGGGCGTGTTGAATGGGAGGGGGGGCGTGACGGCGTCAGCCAAACATCTGGTGGTCCCTGCAGCTTTGATGGCTTGCGCATGCCGGGTGCAGCAGGTGCGATGCAAAGGTTACAATCCACCCGAAAAGGAGCGCACCCTGTTCCTGGCGCCACAGCTAGGCACTGCCGCAGCTCTACCTGCATACCGGCGGCCCCAGCGCACCAGTCCGCTTGTCAGGGTAGCCAGCTTGCCATCCCCGACATACTTGCGCTGGCTGACCCGAAAGTCTCCCAGCTCGACAGTAGGGTACTCGCCGCACCACTCGACGGCGAAAGGCCACGTCAGCGCCTCGAACAGCCGCGCCAACCAGGGGCAAGCGCCGGGCTGCATTCGCTGCTCCGCATCGCAGAAGCTCATTGCGGCCACCATTGGGGCGCAGCAGCGCAGGACTGTGGTGGGCGAGTAGTCTGGATCAAGCCATGATTGCGCCTCTGCAGTTGGACATGTTGCAACGCATGGGGGTAGAGATGAAACAGCGGACTGCGGCAGTGAGGGCCACTGCTGGTGTGGCCACGTCACTGCAGCAGGATGCGGTTGGCAGCCGCGGCAAACTACCCACATGCCGGCGGGCTCGCTGCTGCGCCCCTGCAACCTTTTCTTTCTGGCAGGCCTGTAGGGGTCAGGATCCCATCTTCAAGGCGAGCCATGGAATTGAGGCACGCCAGATCGCACCACACAACCCAGCTGCACCACCCCGGCCCACCAGAGGGCGCAACCTCGTAGATCGCCATCAGCAGCGCCTTGCTGACCTGGAACGCATCCCCCCGCTGCGCCACGCCGGCCTCGCGCACCGAGAGTACGGGGCCCCATACCTTGTGCAGAGCCGCCTCTGGCGGGGCCGTGGGATCTGGGCTAGGGTTTAAGCTCACCAGCAGCGGCCCCAGCTCAGCCCTGCATAAATCGATGGGTATGGCATGACGCAGGTTCAGGTCATCGGGTATGCACCAGGCGGGAGAGCACAGAAAGAGCGCCTCCGTGCTTGGTCGCATCAGCCAACGCGCGTGTCGGTGATGCAGGACACGACGCTAGAATTGGGAACGGCTCGCTGGAGTGCAAACCCCAGCCTCAGCAGCGGCCACGGCTGCCCAGATGTAGAAAGCCACGCACCGGGCCTCGGGCAGCAGCGGCGCGACTGCCCCCAAGCCCGCCAGACGGAATCGCACGTGCGGCCGATGTCCCGGTAGCCCCCACCACTCCTCTATGCCCGCGCCGCCACCGCCGCTGCCGCTATCTCCAACATCCACCAGCATGCTGCTGAGCTGGACGGCTCGGTGGACCAGGCCGGCGGCATGCAGGGCTATGAGGCCTGAGGCGTAGCCCTCAAGAGCACTCGCGACATTTGCAATTGGGTGCAGGACGCCCCTGCGAGTTGATTATCCCATGGGTGCGCCCGTGATGAGGCGCGGAAGGGGGAGAGGGCAGGTGGGGTAGACAACACGAGGGAGCTGCAGTCACGGGGAGCCGGCCTGCTGACCGACCCCGCTGCTTGCAGGCTGCCAGGACCCAGTGGCTCGATTTCCCTTGTGGGATGCCGTGACGCTTTAACCTTGGTAAAGCTCACCGGAAGCACAGCGCGTCCTCGTCCTCCTCCATGTGGTGCATGCCGGCTTCTCCCAGCAGCGCGCTCCTCAGCGAGCGCCCTCCATGCCGCAGCACCAGCAGCAGCGCCGGCCGCCGCCGCTCCTCGCCGGCGCAGCCGTGCCGCGCCTCGACGCATGCGAGGCCTGTCGCCACCCAGCGCGCTGAGACAACGTGCTCCCCCAGGCCGCCGGGCGCCGCGTGCGCTTCCCCCTCCAGCCGCGCCAGCGCGTGAGCCGCGGTGTCCACCGACGCATCGCCGCGGGCCGCGGCCTCTGACGCGCCGCCACAGCTGGCTTGGATGTCGCAAAAGACGGCTTTCACAACCAGGCGCTCACCCGACGGGCAGTACACTGGACCCCAGACGGCGCTTTGGCAGCACTCTCCCAGCAAAGGGGCGGTGTGGAGTACAGTCAGCACTGGCAGGGATGCCGACGCTGCATCGCCACCAGACTCTGGCGTCCCCTGGGTTGCGGGCGGGGGCAGCCTCGACGCGTCCCCCTTGGCAAAGCAGCGGCGGCCATCGCCGTCGGTACAGGAGCAGGCGGCGTCGATGACGCAGGCCGCATTGGTCAGCACGCCTCTGACCACCATGATCAGGGTGGCGTAGCGCCCGGCTTGCTGTGCGATATCTGGGCTGCAGTGCACACGAGGAGCAGCGGCGGAGTGTGTTTGACTGATGCGCTCGCTCAGCGCGTCACGGTGCCGTACGTTCTGCGTTGTGTCCTTAAAATTACAACACATGTCCTTACACAGCGCAACATAAGCGCAGATAGCTTCTATACGTGCGATATGCCGATGCCGAACTCCAGATCCAGCAAGCTCGACATTATACATGGCTGCATGCGACAGCAATTGATGTAAGACTCCATCTAGGTTACCTATATGTACACCGTTGTGCTGCTGACCGTCAAAGGTGATCTGGCAGGTGGCACCATTACAGTACCGGTGTTGAAGGACATTGAGTGAAAGACGAATATATGATACAGTGCAGGTAAGACAGATAAAAAGCCTCACATCCGCGAGGGGACATGAATTGAGTTTGGAAGGCAGACGCACGTCAAGATCACAAGAGTCTGACCGGGTAAGGATCATGGGCGGATGCAGCCGCCAGCCGGTTGCAGCACAGCACACCGTGCGCACTGCAGGATGCATGCCAAGGTCATCAAAAAGTTTGGTTCCAAAGTGGCGGACAACAGCCTGAAACACAGCTACAAGATCACAACAATGCAGCCAACCAACAACAACACAGCCTTTAGTTGGCCAGCCCTCGTCAACCCCGCCCAGGGCAACTTTGCCGTCGCCCGCGACTCAGCGACAACCGGTTGCATGGGAGCCGCGAGAGCATCATCAAGTTTGCGCCTCAGCACCTCTTCGTTTGGCCCCAAGGCGGCCAGGCCAATTCGTGGGGGCGCCCCGTTGTGGCCGTTGTCGTAGATGGTGTAGTAATTGTGCATGAGCGTGTCACCTGTTGTGCATGCGTGCATGTGTGGTGCATGGTGTATTTGGTAACCGGCACACAGCCAGGGCAGGGGCTGTGTGTGGTAAACAGTGGCTTTGGTTAGAAAATTTCACAACGGGACAGCCTGCTGAGATTGTGCCCGGTGCACCCTGAGCGGGTTGAAAATCAAGCACCCCCCCTCCCCCCGGCGCACCAAGGATCCAAAAACCAGCAGGCAGGCTGCCTAGGCTGCTGATAAGGCTGTAGCACAGCCCGCCAGGTCCCTGCGTGTAAGCGAGCCACATACAAAAGGGAGGGACAATCACTGAGGAGGAAATGTGTGATGATGGAGCTTGTCAAACGCACCAAGCTTATCAGATGCACAAGCCAGGCACCAGCAGCAAGATTCAACCAGCTCGAATGGCAGAACATGTCATTAGCTGGTCCCAGCCTGGTGGAAACGTGCAAACAGGTACACGTTGTGCGCGAGGTGCGATGACTCACCCGTGCCGCGTACTGCATGGGCGTGACATCGTAAGCCCTACCCATAATGACAAAGCTGACATTGGGCAATCCCCCAATCTTGTTGCAGTCCACGGTTGCATTGAAGCTGTAAGGCAGGAGTTGGCAGTCAACAACTGATGCGTTCTTTGCTGCCTCCATGGTCTGCCGGCTGGGCGCTCCGCGCCCGCCCTGCAGCGCCGCCCGCGCCGCATCGATGTTTGCAAGCACAAGCGCGCAGAGCGTGGCCTGCGGCGACAGCGGGCCCGCCCCCAAGCCCTGGCAGATGCCTGCCAGCTGCTTGCTCCGAGGATCCGCCTGACCTGCCGCCGAAATGAGCCCTGCAAGCCGCTCGATCTCGGCCTCGCACGCAGCGCCGCCGCCCGGCAGTGGCGGCGCGCCCGGCGAGAAGCCGAGGCGGCGGTTGAGGGCACCGGCATGGCGGACGGTGCCTGTGAGCAGGGACGTGCCGCTGTCCAGGGCGCCGATGCAGGTTGGGCCACCTGCCCCACCGCGGCCGCCAAACATGCTGGTGTCAGTGTTGGTGGTGGCCGTGCTCCCGCAGAGTACAACCTCGGGGGCTGGCAAGCTGCCACCGGCGAGGGCGATGGCATCGAGAGGCATTGACCAGAAGCCCTCCTGGCCGCCGGGCGGCTTCACGATCGGCACCCTGCACATTAAGGAAGAGCACACGTGTGCCTTGGATACATGTTAATGGGGTTTGACATTGTGGAACACAATCCGATTCACGAAGTTCATGCAGACATGGCAAAAGCTAGCCTCACCATTGCTTTAGGATGGGCCTCAAATTGCACAGCCCGCTCACCAGTGCACATCGCCTTGCATGCGTGCAGGGTTCCAGCCGCCTAGCGCCAGCTCTCCGCCCTTCCCTGGACCGCTTGGGTCGTGGCTGAGCCATAGCCCGAAAACAGGTTCTGCGAGCAGCCCCTGCTCAACCAGGGAAATCATTGGCGGCTGCAGCCACCCGACCGCGAGCGCAGGCCGGCCCATGCCCAGCAGGCCGTCCCACGGCGCACGGCCCCCGCTGCTGGCGCTGCGCGCGCGGCCTTGAACACTGCTTGCCGCCACGATGCCTTGGGAGAACGACAGGGAGCCGCGTTGGCCGCCGCTGCTGCTGCCTGCGCTGCCGTTGATGAAGGTACCGTTCAGGCGGATGGGGGCCCTGCCTGTGACGCCTGTGATGTAGCTGTCGCCATAAGTGATGTGGACCTCAGGGCCCCCAATTCCCTGGGCACCAGGGGTGGAGAGGAGCCACCACAGAGGGCATGTGGGTTCAAACACACAGCGGTACTATTGCATCTCTTCCCATGGCGGAGGCGACACACGCATGCTCGACTCATTTTCCGCCACTGGTCATGTGGGCCCCAGCAGTGGAGTGCACACCTGGAAGGAGCCTACAGCCGCCGGGTCAAACAGAGAGCGGCCCTGGCAGGCTGAAGTGGTGCATGTCGTGCTGGGCACCCACACGTTGGCGGACCCCGTGTCCACCAGCAAGCGGAAGCCTCCCCGTTGGCCGATGCCGACGTCAGCATCGATGAAATACTGGAAATCCGCCGTCTAGTGTCAGGATCAGGGGCGGAACGGCGGATGGTGGTGCAGAACCTCATGGGTGCAACCGTAGGGTGAAGCAAGTAACAGCACTGATGGATCTGGTGATTTGGAATCATGTGCGCCCGTAACTCACCTCCCAGGTCAATGGCATGGCGAACACTGCGGCGGCGGGCTGGGGCGGGGGTGCCCCGCCGGGCAGCTCGGATGTCACAGATGCGCCCGCCAGGGACACTGATAAGTTGATCAAAATGCCACTTAAAATAAAATGCTGCACCAACCCCCGTGCCATTGCGCACCGGTGTACAATATTTACAAAAGTGAGAAGAGCTGCAGATCAGTTCATCGTGCTTTTGGTAATACCCGCTGGCAACGTTACGGTGATATGGACATTGGTTCGTTTTCTTTGCAATTCAAGCAGACCGCGTGGCTGTTTACAAACGGACGGGAAGCTGCTGGACACCCGTGACCTCCAAACAAGCCATACAAGCGTTCATGTGGACAACAAGCTTGAACTCTGCACTATTTTTGTGTGTTGCTGTCAAGTACCAACCACTTAGCTGTCCAGATCAGAGATCAAAATGCCGCCAAACAAGCCGAGGCTCGAGCAGGTCTGTTCTGGCCTGCACGACGGCACTATGCATATACCTCCTCTTGCTTATCATTATCTCCATCGCAGGAAGCGTTTGATGATTCCGTGAAGACAAACATGGAAGACTTCGGCATGGAGGTGCGCCGCTCGAATTCGGCGCGTCGCTGTGCCATCACGCCTGCCATGGACGTAGGCTGATGCCCCACACCAACCTATTCACAACAGGCGGATGAGGCAATCAAGTCTGCGGTGGAGGAGTTTGAGATGCAGGCACGAACACGGTGCCGCAGGGCGCTTGCTTGTGATGTGTTGTGTGCATGGGTGCACTGCGGGTGCCTGTGCCATGCACCTACATGGTGCCAAGCAGCACCCTTGGCCGCCGCCTCCTGCGCAGGGGTATGACCTGAGTGCCATTGTCAAGAGCGTCGACGGCAGCAATACAGACAGGTGAGCCGCCGCCCCGGCGCTGCTGCCCAGGCGCTGCAAGCGGTGCCAGGTGTGCAGACACACTCCGGAGCACTTCCCACCCTTCTTGCGCATGAACCCTTCCCTGACCGTGGCGACCTGCAGTGTGCCTCCTGCTCTCGACTACATGCTCTGATACACTCGCCATATTGTCACCCTGCAGCCATCCGGCAGCGCAGGCCGCAGCGGCCCTACAGGCCCTTGCAGAGTCCGGTGCCGCCGCTGCCGACCCCGCGCGCCTTGCGAGCGCCGCCGCCACGCTGCAGCAGGCGCTGCGCGCCGGCGGGGACAAGCAGGCGGCGCAGCAGGCGCTGGTTGTGGCGCAGCGCGCCGGCGCGGTGGGCCCGCTGCTCGCCGCCACGCAGCAGGCACTCGAGGCGTGCTCCGATGCAGACGGCAGCGCCGGCCAGAACGCAGCAGCACGGGAGGCCGCGCTCATTGCGTGCCTGCGCACAGCGCGCGCCCTGATGGCGAACCAGGACGCGAGGGGCGCATTTACCAGGGAGCGCGGCTGCGAGCTGGCACAGTTGCTGCTGCGGGCGCCGGCGGGGCAGGCGGGCGGCGCGCTGGCGACGGCGGTGGGGGCGCTGGCTGAGGCGGCGAGCTTCAGGGATGAGGAGAACAAGTGCAGGTGTGCAGCTTGGGTGAGGGGCCGGGCAGGCAGCGAGCGTGCAATCGCCTGAACCTCTAGACCATCATGTTTCTGATGTGCAGCCTAATACAGTTGGCCAGGGCCGACTAGCTGGACGCCGGGACTGCAGTGACGGTCACGCTCGTGAAAGCGCCAGTCAAAACGCGTATGCCTGGAAATTTCACCTACACTTACGCTGCATCTGCAGGTTTGTCGACATTGGCTTTGCCTCTGACTTGTTCCGCCTGATGGAGCAGCCAAACACGACCCCTGCAGCCACCGCCGCCGCCGCCGGCGCCCTGCGCGCGTTTGTCAATGCTGACGACGAACGCAGCACGGGCTCCAAGTGCTTCGCGCATGCGCGCGGCCTGGCCAAGAGCGCTGGGGCGGTGGGTGCGCTGCTAGCGGCGCTCCGGCGGCTGGGCGGCGGCGAGGCGGCGGCGGCGGCAGCGGTGATGGCGGCTCTCAAGCAGGTGGGGCGAGGGCGGCCCTCACGCGGGTGGGGGCACCGAACGCCTTGACGTGCGCACCAACCCCACTTGGTGCTTCTGCTTCGTGCTTCCCCCGCACCAGCCAACCACCGCCGATTGGACCGCCACACCGCCAGATCGCGGCCAACGACGACATCTGCCGCGAGGTCATGGAGTCGGGCGGGACGGACACGCTGCTGGTGCTGCTGCGCGACGCAACCTCCGCACGCGCCGGCGGGGCAGCGGCCGCGGCCGTGACGGGTGAGCAGGAGGACGCCGACGACGCCGTCGCGGGCGGCGGCGGCAGCAGGGACGGCAGCGGCGGCGGCGGCGTGCGCGGCGCGGCCGCCGACCTGGCACGGGGCGCTGCCGGGGCGCTGCGGCAGCTGGCCAACAGCGACGCCGTGAAGAGCCAGCTCGCGGAGGCTGGGGCGCTGGAGGCGATCATGCGGTGGGCGGCTGGGTGTGTGCGCGTGTGGCCAAGCGCAGCGCCTGCTTGTCAGTTGCAATCAGGTGCCACGAGAAGTGGGGCATTGCCCCCGATTCTGCTATTCAGATTCCGCAAGCATGGGCCACTTGACGGTCTGGTCCATTGTTGATGCAACCTGCTGGATGCAGGTGAATTTCCCCATCCCCTCATGCCTGCAACCCCTTCGCCGCTCCTCTGCTGCATCTGCAGCGCGCTGCGCGTCTTTGCCGACGCCCCCGCAGTGCAAGAGGAGGCGCTGGGCCTGCTGACCGCGCTCACCCTGCGCATGCCAGCCATCTCATCCGCCGCCGCCGACGCCGGCGCTGTCGAGGCGCTCGCATCTGTGCTCGAGGCGCAGGCGGCGGCCGCTGCAACGGCCAACGGCGCCGGCGCCGGCGCAGGCAAGCTGCAGCAGCGGGCGGCCGGCGGCGGCGGCGCGAGCGCCAATGGTCCCGGCTCGGCGGGCGGCGTCGCGCGGCAGGCGTGCATGGCGGTGCGCAACATGGTGGTGCGCAACCCCGAGCTGCGTGCCCCGTTTTTGGAGCGCGGCGCGGAGGCGCTGCTGCGGGGCGTCAAGGCGCGGCACGCGGATGTTTGCGGGGACGTGGGCAGCGCTGCGCTGCGCGACCTGGGGCTGGATCAGTACCAGTAGTTTGTGGCGTGTCGCGGCTTTGAAGGCGCGTGTTGGGGTTGGGAGTTGGGGCCTGAGAGGCGCCGGCGTCGTGCCGTGGGACAGAAAGATTCCGTGGAAGAGGTGCCGTCTGCCGCAACTTCTGTTGGCGGCTCAAGCCGCCAGGCCGCGGCTCAATAACTGTAAAATCGGTGAGCACATGCGCCGCATCAAGCCCGCGGCCAAGGCGGATGACGAGGCTGCATCTTCAACCAAGTCCACAGCTGTTGACCACTTAGTCGAGGGTCAACTGTGTTTGAGGCCAAGTATAGTTGCTGACAAATGTGGCAGCGTGTGGAGCATGCGCTGTGGCGCTTACGGCGCGAGGGTGCGCTGCTGGCACGCCAGACCAGCTCAGCAGAGCGCAAAAATGAGCAGGACGGAGGCGCTGGCGGGCGCTTGCGCCACTGAAAGTGCGCAGCCGGCAACCTGCATGAGGCTTTGGCACCCTTTCAGTATACACACAAACGTCGCGATCATCCTAACTGCACCATATCTAGCGAGTCAGAATGGCGTCGCCCCTGCAGGCGCCCACGGTGACCAGCACGGTGCGGGTCTCTGCGGAGGACGAGATAGATGTATATTATGAGCTGTATGACAACCAAGTCAACGGCATCACCAGTGGCGTCAGGTGGGCGCCCGACCGCAGTGTGGCACGCAATTGCGCCTGGGTTGGGCGCGGTGTCAGCCAAAGCGCAAGGTGCTGCGTTGCCGAGCCATTTGCGCAGAGCGGTGGGGCGCGGTGCTGGCATGGCGTAGGCCGGCATGCGGCGGCCTCCACTCGTTCTGGCCGCCAGCGCCGACGCCAACTGCTCTCCTTTCGCGCTGCTCTCGGCCCGCCCAACCTGCAGCGCCCCCTCGACCAGCGGCGGGTGCCAGCAGGAGCCGGCGCGCGTGCTGCTCATCATGGGCGTCGCGGCGACATGCGTCGCATGGCACACCCAGATCCAGGCCCTGCTGGCCAGATCAAAATCACTGGGGCGCGCCGTCCAGATCGTTGCTTACGACAACCGCGGCGTCGGGCGCTCCAGCTGCCCCAAAGAGCGCAGGCACTACAGCAGCGCGACGATGGCACGGGATGCGGCGGCGCTGATGGAGCATTTAGGGTGGGGGGCGGCCCACGTGGTCGGGTTTTCTATGGGCACCCAGATTGCAGGTGAGCGCCAGGCGGGGCGACCCTGGGCACGTCGCGCTTTGGGGTCTGGACAGAGGGCATGCAGCAACCAGTTTATGCACGCGGCGCATCAAGCTACCACTGACCAGATGCGAGGGCACCTGGCGGGAGTGCGGCCGCTCCATGTGCACGCCTGCTGGAGGCATGCGCCTTTCTGCCCCACCGCCCCAGCACGCTCGCTTTCCCACCCAACCGCACTACCCGCAGCCAAGCTGGCCGCCTCCGTGGCGCCCGACCGCGTGCTCTCCCTCGTCCTCGTCAGCGCCGCCGGCGGCGGCGTATCCTCCCTGCCCCGCAGCCTACACGCCATCCGCCACTCCCTGCGCGTCCTCACCGCTCGCACCCTGATCGGCCGCGCGCGCGCCGACCTGCGGCTGCACTTCACCAAGGGGACGCTGCACTCGGCCTCATCCGCATCGTCAGCCTCCTCACTGGCGGCTGCAGCTGCGGCGGTGTCGCTGCCAAACGCCGGGCCTGGAGGCGCGCTGGAGGCCGCCCCCTCCGGCGGGTCCTCGCCGCCTCCTCTGCCGGCGGCCGGGCCCAAGGGGTCGATTGCTGCGGCGGCGGCGTCGGGGGCGGCTGCAGCCGCGGGGCCTGCGGCGGCGGCGCGGCGGCAGAAGGAGGACCTCATTGATGAGTACGTGGCACACGCGCAGTGCATGCCGCCGCAGGCGACGCACGTGAGCGACCGCGGGGGCGGCCGCGCGGGCCTTGGCGTGTAATGGGGGGCGTGAGCTCTGGTGCCATTCGCACCACTGCTGACGGGGGGCCTGGGCTTGGGCAGGAAATAGGAACCTTAGTTGGTGGCTGCCATAGTCATGCTATGCGGGGTCCTCCAAAGCCAAACGCTTGCACACCGGAACCTTGGCCACTCGCAACATCCCATGCTCGCACACCTCGTCCGGCGGAACTCGCGCGTGTCCACAGGGCTTGCACGGCCACCTGCACACTGTGTGGAACCACAAGCTCTCGCCCAGTGAGAAGGCCACCCTGCGCGCCGCAAGAATCCCAATCCTCTTCATCCATGGCCTGAAGGATAAGGTGGCGCCACCTGCATACGCGCAGCGGCTCAGCCGCGAGCTCGGGGCGAGCATCGTGCTGCTGCCGGGCGCGCACGTGGTGATGCGGGAGAGCGCGCAGCAGGTGAGCACCCGGCCTGCTCGTGCACTGGCGAAGCTGACGGCAAGGGGATGCGCGAGGTCCAGCCGGGCGGCGCGTTGCACGTCGCATCAGAGTGCCTGCCACATTGACTTGGCATGCAGATGCGAGCACTAGCCAGCAGAGTGTCATGCGCCGTTTGTGCAGCTCTTCTCCCATCCCGCGCGGTGCGAACTTATGCAGGTCAACGCGCTGTTGTTTGACCTGGTATTCGGGGACGCAGCGTTCTGCACCCGCCGCGAAGTGGCACCCATCCCACTTCATGCGGCC